TTCCAATAGGAGGAGACGCGGCTGTCCATATACCCACCACAATGTCGGACAGAAGTGGGCACTCTGGTGAGGCCTTGCGCGCCTCGGCGGTATTATGTGCCTGAAAGTTGGAAACAACTGATGCCCGTGCTGTGTATGGTCCCTGGCTGTGTCGCCCAGGTGTCAGATTGGGGTTTTGAGTCGTTTGGGGGTCGCCTATGGAGAGCGCGCGCGCTGGATGTTCGAGTACCCACTTTTGTCCGAGAATGACGTGGGTATGCTGTACCCAGTTTTGTCAATCCCGTTTTTTTCGACCGCCGCGTTCAATGGCCAGCAATGTGAGCACAGCACCACGTTACTTCTCGAAGCCTAGGACGCCGGTCGCCATCGCACCACTTTGAGCGTGTGATCCATTGTGGTGTCTCTGGGCGTGATAATTGTGTTGGGCATGGATGCTGTATGTGGCGAGAGCATCGTGGCTATTATGTGAAATCCGGTTTGGCTTCTTCGCCTGGCGATGCGGCCCGATCGCCCGCGCGGGCCAAAAAAAACGATTTGGATTCCACGCCGCCACGAAGGTCTTCCCACACACAGCACTCATGTCTAACACAACTGTCACGCCCCGCGAAATCGCAATGGAGCACACGCTCGAAGTGGTGCCATGACGATTGGTCCTCTAGGTGACGAGAACTGCATGACTTGTGTCCTGCTGTTTCACTGGCAGTTGGAAACACACCGAACAAGAACTCAGTGTAAGGCTTACACAAACTCAAAATAAGCCCAGTCTCCAGTCGGTTTCAATCCACTTACTGTACTGAAAAGACTTCACGACATCCCTTTCGACTGAGGATATCTCGAACGGGTACTCTTTCTGTGGGGTTCAGCAATATGTAGTATGCGCGGGGTATATATGACCACGAACGCGGGATGTGGACGGGGGGGGGGGTAACCGGTAGGTGAAAGTTAACGTTACCACAGTACCACAGTTCTCACACCAGCGCACAGTAGGTGTAGTATCACGTGTGTGGTGTTTGCTCTCTGTTTCCGCCCGTGGACGCACACGTCTGACGACAGTTACATCCATCGGCTGTCGCTCGTTGTAGCGACAGCTAGTATATCTTATCCCACTGCAGCTTGGCGTAGTTTTCACTTCAGATCAAGAACAACCAAGTCCAACCTGCTACGACTACTGGGTGTGCCTACAAAAATGAGTGACCACGGCAATTTTCGCTGCTGCTACACCGACTCATGCAACAAGATGATGGGAGTGCCAGAATACGCTCACTGCTGCGATCTGAGGAACACAATACCCCTCAGTTGATGATGAATGTGGTCGATTCTCAAATTTATGCATATAGCAGTATGCCGTTGAAGCGAACGGAAAAGGGTCGATGGCATTTGATGTTCTTGTAACACACGGTCGATTTTTCGTCTGTTGTAGTGGAAAAACTCACCCACTTGAACTCTCTCGGTTCTGTGAAGGACGTCACGTTCACCGTATATACTTTGCCGGCCGACGGGAGTGCCACCCAACGGCCTTTCTGTACGGCCTGCTCGTTAGGTACGGGCGCGTACCAAAGCAGCAGCAGAAGGAAGAGGAGCAGCGGAGCAGTGGAAATACCAGCGTCAAGTCAATTTGTCCACACCATGTACAACTTTACCAAACTAACAACAATCAACTGTAAGTTAGTTGCTTGCCAGACAGCCACCGGCTAGTTGTTCGTAAAATCTAGTTGCGCACGCTTCTGGAAGAGTAGTTGTCTACAGGCAACTAGGTGCGCACGATTCTGGAAGAGTAGTTATCTGCAGGCAACTAGGTGAGCACGATTCTGGAAGAATAGGTGTCTGCAGGCAACTATGTAGGTGCGCACAAATTTGAACCACAGTAGTTGTCTGCAGGCAACAACTGTAGATGCGCATACTCCTGAAAGGGTGGTTGTCTGGCAACCAACTACCAACTAAAGTAGTTGTACAGGGTGTGCTTTTTTCCGACCGACGTTCGATGGAGACGCGGATCGTAGCTGGGCAGACCTTCGGAGGGAATACGTCTGAAACCACCACCTAACAGTGAGCGCATTTCTACAATTATCTACCGCATCTACCAATAGTCCCCTGAAACAAAGCAGGGTGACGGAGCCAAACAACGATTGAAGGGACACGGATGACCACCCCTTCTTTGCTTCATAGGTGCCTTTCAGCAAACGCCATCCTACACGATTGACGACTCTTGAATCCGACACATTGAGCACCATATCATTGACCTTGCGTCCGAATATCCCGCATTCGCCTTCAAGCCAGCTTGCGACCCACCTGAAGGTTTCCATCATCGTCCTTATATTGCAAAGCGGAAAGCACCCGAAGAGCGTTGCCCGTGACGGTTGTGATGGCCTTCGAATGACACGTTCGGAAAGCACACCGAAAGGGGTACAATGACGCCCACAATTTATTGCACGACACACGCCCCAATGGGTCATTCGATTTCTGTTTTCTGCTGTGCTGGGATCGAGGTTCTTTGGTTAGTCACCCGCCTAGCGCGCACAAACAGAGAATGTCCAAGCCTCTCCCCGCAAATCTCCGTCGCAGGACACCTGATCATGTCCTTTGGATACGTTTTCGATCATTCTGACGTTAGCCCGTCTTAGACAATTTCACTAAATAGTCAGTCGGCTAGGGCGCGATCGATTTTCTATGACTGAAGGCGCACATAAAAACACACTTGACGGGGGAGCTGGGGGGAGCTCGATGACTGGAAAGTTTGTTCATGTTTCAGTTCCGAAGAGGTTAGCGTCGTAGAAGCTCCATAAGCACCCAAGCGAGCGGCATTGTGCGCCTGCATTTTTTGTTATCTCTCAACATTGCAGATTCAAACGAAAAGAGCGTTTCTGGGTCAACAAGCGTCGCTCATTACTCACACACTCAACCATCATGATGGGTTCAGAACGTAGGTGCAAAGGACGTTCCATACCTTGTCTAGTCCGTCTAGGATCTGCACGCTGACAGCACAGAGCGTACTTGAAGCCGGTTCTCCGATGCTGCGAGAACACGAGAGCGTACACGATCGAACTCAATCTGACGTGGGACTGTTGGGGACATTTACCTGGCAGTTTCGCCTGTCGCGGATACTTGGATATAAATGTATGATACTGCTATTCCAGGCTACACCGTACACCGAGCTTGGATTTTCGGTGCTTACGTCTACACCTTGACCGGATTTTCGCCGCGTGGAACAACAATTGCCGTCGGTACCTTTTCATACTGTTGCAGGTGCACCGTGAATTCATTGAGAACACGACAGTATATCTGCTCTGCTGGTATTCCACAGACCCTCGGACCAAGACTCCACTTCCACTTTCCCATCTGCTCCACTCTACAGTACGTACGACGATATATATTTTGTCAATTTCCTTGGATAGCGGTCCGTGGCGTCAGCTGATGTCGCGGTTGAAGTGGTTACCGCACCGACGGCCACGCCGTCCGCCCTTGTTCCACATGTTTCTGTCCCGTGCCGACTACATGGACGGTGGTTGATACTCTACGAGCGTAATCGGCAAGAACCGCGATGGAAGAGCATCTTCAAATTTGCCTGAGGTCCATTCGACAATTGTTTAAACGCGACGATTACCTATAAGGACAACCGATAGCGGCTGCCGGCGAAGCAATCTATTCCATCTTTAACAAGAGACGTATGCATCGGATAGGCGGGCTCGAGAGGCGATTGGCCTACTGGCCGAAGATTTTCGTTCTACTGAGTCGATGCGATGTGAAAGCCTTACGCGCGCCCAACGGCATAGCACAGGCAATAATAAATTGGAAATCGGTGTGCGCGCACCGGACATGGATATGGTCCGGAAGAGGATCACCGTTCACTAAAGTGGCCACCATTCGTTTCGGCAGAAGCTTTTTCCCGGCGTCCATAGCTCTGTTCCATTCCCGGTTGGCAATAGCCTGGTACATGATGGAGCAGAAAACCTCCCATGACGAGTGTAAGTTTTGATGAACGAAGCACAAACCAACACTATACTAGGTGGAGAAAATAACCAGGAGATATGCCTACGTACTTGCGGACAGTGTGCACTCCCTCAAAGTTTGGCATTGCTTCTTCATCTACACGACGACCTGGAGTGAGTGTGAGTACATGTACCGACTGGGGTATCCTCTTCCCGTCCCTCACCTCCTTTGTCGGGGGGCGATGTTCGAGACATACCTCGACGTTGTGCGCGACGAGCACCCTCAGGTTGTTGCACTTCACCGAACGAATGTATAGAGGGACACAAATGACTGTCTCCTTGTAAATTACAATACAAACGACGCCGTGGGTCAGAACGTTTAGGAAACGTTCCCCCTCAATCCCCTTCATTAAAAAAAGTGTAAACAAACGCCCGTGTACGTGATGGATTCGGTGCATACAACAAGAACCAGGCGCGACTGTTCCGTTTTCCCAGTCTCCGCAACTCTTCACGGCCCGATACCGGGAGCACGCGGTGTGGCCCTGAACTGCTTCCTTCTGCGCTTATCTGGCTGATGGTCCCAAATTTCTGGCGTAGTTTACCCTTTCGACTATTTTCCCTCCGCACCTTCGCTGCCAATTCGATGTCACTGCGTGCATTTGCACGCACGCATATTCGGAGATCCCGGGACAGAACGATACAGCCCCGGGAGTTGCCAATGCGAGGGCTAGCAAAGCGGAAATGCCACACAAGCCTCCAAACCAGGGGAAACAGAGGTAGGACGCAGCTATAAATATTGACAACACCGCTGGAAGGAGCACGACACTGTTAGGTAAAGTGCAGCAGGGATGCGCGCTGGCTCAAGAGCGGTGCCCTACTAACACATGATCCACGTGAGAAGTAAGAACTGGGTCGATCGAGAGGGACAGAGGCAGGCGGAAAAAACTTTGCCGTGCCCAACGGTGTCCCATAGCATCGTACAACATCGACATGACCACTAACCCATAATAATCACAACGGGTTGGTATGGGTAGCTCCAATTTCAAATTGCCACACCTACCCCTGTGATAGCGTTTGAATTTCCAACGTGCTATCACACGGGTGTGGTACCTTCTGCAACCCACGTTACCTACAAAATACGCGGTGAATGATCATGCAAAAAGCTTGACGTGGGCGGGCATCCTTGCCAAAGCCCATACAGAGCTGTAGGACCACTAAACTGGTTATTATTGCGGGAAAATGTTCCCAGGAAGAAGTGGGGCTGGTGCACCTGGCAAGGGCAGTCGTCTATGCAATATTTCCTATGCAATACTTGTAAATTTGATTGAGTGTGCTGAAAGGCAAATGATTCGGGACGTACACGGGTCTGCATTTTATTGTTCATGGTGCAATAACTCTTGCCACGCTATTCGTGGTGGACCCGTTCTCAGAAGCACACTTGTCCTCTTTCAGCTTACCTCCCCGGTGTCAAGGTTCGCGATTACGAGGAGACCTTTCGCAGGGTCCGTGTTGCCGTATACCTCCTTTGGCCAACGCTGGAAACTGAAGAATTTAACAAGAAGTCCAAATTCATCCTCCTGACGTTTCCACGCGCAAGAGAATAGCGTGGTAGTGATTGCTCAGCTGAGGGTGCAGAAGAGCAACCTCCAAAGTTGTTCGAAAAGGAGGCTTTCATAGCAACCACGACTGTGCGATTTCGTACATCAGACCTTCTCTTCGAAGAAATTGATCGTTCCGTACACTTTCTTGGCCTTCAGCTTCACTTTCGTCTTGTGGGATTCGAATACTCGTGAGTTCGTCCCGCTTCCGAAATTCGCCATCTTGTAGTGCCTGCACGCCGGATCTGGAGGTGACGACATGGGTTCGCGGAAGTGGAACTCCTTGTCGTACTTCTGAACGAATGTCAAGCGTTGACCAAACAACGGCAGGGGAAAGTAGGACAAGTAGAAACGAATTTGTTGTCAGTGGCTACTCTGAGAGGTCCAAGCACTCTCCGAACGACGTGCAGCTGTGGGAGGGGCACACTGCAGCGCCCGAAGGAACAACGACATTCGAATTCTCGGTCGCCCTTGAAACCAACATTTTTTTTCCTCTGCAAATCGTATCAACAGCATCGATCTCCGACGACTCTGCAGCACATGCCCAAGTCACAACCTCGTGGGATGCTCGTGAAATCCGAAAACAAGCCCTGTCATTTCATGAACTGCTGTACCACCCACGACAACCGCGTTCGATATGGCATGCATGAGGGCTGCCGGCATTCCCCGTCAACGGGCCAGACGCATACTTACGTACGCCCCAAACAATGGTGATAAGGACCCAAGCAATACTCAAACTTGCACAGCGACGTGGGATGTTTCCCATGAGTCAAATAATGTTTCTAGGCACTTGGAGCACATAGACACGCGTGCTTACCCTGTGGCAGTCGATTAGCCAGTTCGCGAAATCCGTGCCCATCGTGCGATGGTTGTACAAAATGTCCTTGGATATCAGGGTGTCATGGAGTGATCGCCCGTCTCGGAACTGGGAAGATATCAGTCGAATTGTCGGGGACCATGGGCTGTGAGAGGTAGCGGAAGCTTAAGTCTTCAATGCATGTTGCAAGGCATGCTGAACAAAATTGACGCTCATGAAAAACCAAACCAGAAGGAATCGCCGCCGAACCATTGCGAGCATCGGTGACAAAACACGTACGACCGAACTCAATTGTATTAACCAGCAGCGGCAACGTCTACCTACAACATCTACGACAAAGATGACAACGACGCCCCCCGGTGGCCGAAGCACGTTATGCCGACACATCAGCAGGAGAATAAGATGGAATATTTCGTGGCACTCCTCGATCATGGATGCCGGAAACTGCGCTCCCTACCTTCAACGTCAACTTGTTGTTGCTGATGGGAAAATCCCAGTCAAAGAATAGCATTCCCTTGATTCGACGCGGCCAGTTTGGGGACAGCTCCTCCCGTATAGATTTGTCCCTGCAGCAAAACATTCGAGTTGGGGAAGTTTCGTCGGTTTTCCCGTTGAAAGTGCTTCAAATAAAGCATGTGTGAATATGTGACCCTCATGGTGGATATTTTGAAACACCTACAGGGCGAACCCGACGCAATACGCCCGTATAACCAGAACTTACAGCCTCGCGCGGGAAGGAAAGAAGGACATGGCGGTCGCCGTGCTCTGTGGTACCAGACGCCCCTCCCAAAACACTTCAATGGTGGGGTCGTCAGAAGCGTGCCGTTCGCCTGTTCTGCGTGGTCTTGTCTCCTCCATTCCGTCAAACGGGTAATAGTGAATCAAACCCTGGCGTGACGCACGTTTGTCTTGATTTGAGCGAAACATTGCCGGAGCCGCAAACGAAACGATCTTGGCCTTTTCAGAAGCATCGAGAAATATACACTACTCCAGGCCGGAGTTCTCACCGTCCCTGGAAGCATTTTTTTTTTCTCCGTCGGATGGGGTACCTCCATCCGGAACGCGAAAGAATTACCCACTTTCATGGTGTTAAAACTGGGGATCAAACAGACACACGAGGTATTTGGTAGGGTGTGGGGGTAAGAGGGCGAAAGCAAAGCCGGGAAGGTTGTGGTTGTGATGAATATATTTACGGCGACAGCCTTGTCATGTTCGTGGTCGAGTGCTTGTGTCTGGGCGTGTTCTTCGTGTGGGAGCCTCAAGCAAGGTTTGGAGGCAGCTCGGCGAAATCTCCAATGGCCACACTCTTCGACGCTAACACCGTGATGGGATGAGATCGGCTGAGCACCTGTGTGGCGCACTGTGTAGTCGCTGTTCCTGTCCACGGACAACGGTAACGGGGTACCCTCCGTTCCAACGCGCAGCTACGATGCATTGGCCGCGTCACTACAGATGAAGTGTTTCCCTTGCGAACACCGCCCACACACAAACCGAACGCTTTCAACAATCCCCATATCTTTGAGAAGGAGTACGAGATGTACGGGATCAAAACGACGAGCACCCAAATGAACTGCAAGAGAGCTCGGCATCCCAGAGGCAGCAACAGAAATCTCCGTACCAAGACCTGGGAGAGCGAGAACGTATTCCTAGCATACAGTGGTTCTCCACGGACGTTGGAGCCCTTCGAGCGAGACAAGGAAGACAATTTTGATGGCAGCTGGACATCTTTCATATGGCGATAGCTGCTTGTCTTCCGTCAGTGGTGTAGTCTAGATATCGTTTAAGTGGGCGTTCGGGGCCTCCCCGAGAAACTCTCAGATATTAACGTTCAACGCCGCAGTGTTATGCTCTGTCCAGGCGGCCGTTTACGCTCTATTTACTACGTACAGCACGTTTCTTGAAGGTATACTTGACCCGCACGTTAGGATATTGCATGTGACAGATGACTCAACTTTCCGTGTGGCAAGAAAAAAATCAGCCTCCCTTTGCGCTTGTACGAACGAATCCTATCGTTTTGAAACTCGTTCTTGCGTCGCCGTGTTTTTGTTCAACTGAAGCTCAGGAGGTGGAAGCATGGACAAGGATGACCAGGTGAAGGAAACAATAACGAGGGTACCGAGGCGCGAACAAACGTTGTAACAGGTGCAAGCCGAACATTACCACTTTTCGAGGCTTTCAACGGCTTCCGCTCCGAGATCGATTTCTTCGATCGTCCGGCCTCCGCTCTGTTTAAACGTAAGGGTAACGGCCGTGTTGGCCCCCTGATCGTCACCCTGCGCAGGCGCACCGCCGTCGTTGCCGTCTCCGCCCGTTCCGTTGTTGCTATGCAACGTCAACGAGTGGGCACGAAGCAGTTGGTCACGCTTGGACACTATCTAGTCTACTGTACACCCGCCATTGACCGAGAAAAACGCTCGAAATTGACTTTGGATGGCGCGCGCTTTTGCATGCCGTAGAATGATGCTACAATTCACGTACGAAAATGGAAGTCATTGAGAAATAGTTCTAGCCATTGCGTGCTTCGGAGCATGCCTGCTCGCTTGGGGGGCAGATACATGTCCCACACCGCACGTCCTCTCCCCCAACAAGCGCAAGGGGGCCCGCCTTCACAAAGTATCCGGGGCGTGTTCTGACAGTTTGCTTAATAAACTATACTGAGGGGCATTCGAAGTTTTAGTACCCCAGGGACTCTGTGCTTTGCAGTAGCACCTGCACAGAAAAAATGGCCATGACCGCACACGAAGCATAATACGACGAATGGCGGTACCTACATGAGGCGAGAGACGGGAATATTGATCAAACAGTATGTGCGAGTTCTTTGCAAAGTCGAGTACTGGGATTGAAATACTGTGAAATAGTGTACTCAACATACGAACACATAGACTTAGCCTATGGGCCCAATCACGAACCAGAATATACTCAGCGAGACTCAGTGCACCCTCTGCTAGCATGAGACGTGTAGAAACGACTCACCTTGCGATGCCCGGTGGACAGTCTTCGGGATGAAGATAATAGTGGTATATTGATGCCAGTTCCAAGTGCAGGGGTGTTTCACGTTGTCGATACGACTGTCATGAGGAAATCGGACAAATATCGCGAATTGAAACAACGATGTTATTTGATGCGGCATAAGACCGTTGGTCGCACCAAAAAAGTCGACAACCGAAGATCCCTAGAACGGCGGTGACAGGCTCGACTTCAAAGGGGCGACAAGAACGCACCCATGTATAAGCATATGGTGTTGGTGCATGGCCTTGGACCAAGCCTTGGACCAAGAATTGGTGTCGAGCAAGTCGCATGAAGGGCGCGCTACTATACGCCCATCAATCCGTTTGGAAGGCTCGAGCTAGAAGAACGGGTGCACCATTGATTCCATCGCTTAACCCAGGCACTTTACTGCCCATGCAAAAATATGACATAAAGTTGCGCGATAAGAATAGCACCTGTGCACGAACACAGGGGTCATCCCATATTTGCAGCGGAAGCATGCGGTACAATCATCACCAAATGCGTGTGTGGCGGCTCATCTACCATCCTTCTCCCCCCGTTTTGGCGTCACTGCGATTTTCTTTCATCATTCTCACATCAACATGTTCCTCCCTCAGCGAGAGGACGATGTAGGTGAAGTGGTCCATCTCGGGTTCTCGTTCTCGTAGACGGGTGAGTAGCTTCTTCAGCGCACTCGAGCCCTAATGAAAGATTGAACGGCGGTCAATACGGAACAAATATGGGGTCATTTGGGTTGATTCACGCTGACGTCGGGGGTGCTACACTGGCAGACGGGATGCACATGGCAGTTGCCGTTGTCTTTACGCTGCGATAAGCCATGCCCAGCAGCGTGGAGCTGCACGTGGCTCCATGTATCTGTTGTTTCCGTTGCAGTTTGTCTCCACGTCCAACATCGTTCCGACACATGTTCAGAACGCCTTCTTCCCGATTCCGCAAGGCCAAGAAACAAAGTAGATGCCATAGACACTAAACAACCTAGCTGGCAGCACAGAAAGAACAAAGTAGATGCGAGAGAGACACTGAATCCGAGAGTGACAGAGACGCCTAGGCCCCACTGATCTGCTCGCTCTGGCGACTAGTTCCAATCCTATCAATAACGGGTTGGTGGAGGATCACCGCACACACCAATATATAAAAAGAAAACGGCATCCGCATTCCGCTGAACCAGGGAGGGGGGGGGGGTGTTGTTCATCAACATTGGTGTTCATCTTTAACCGACGACGTCAACCCTGCTCCACGCCATGGTGAAAAACTTTCATTTGCGATGGTACAACCATTTGCCAACATATATGTATCACCCACGGCACAAACACAAACGGTCTCGTGACGTCACTGACGACGAAGAGATATGCCATGGCCGTACCTGTTCTTCGATCCCCCCGGGGGGCCTTAGGAAGACATCGCCGGTATAGACCGGCTCGTCGTTCTCTTGGCGCTGTTTCAATAGATCCTCGTCCAACACGAATACATGCACGTCAGGATTTCCCTGGGCTTTGGTCACGACCTGCGACGATAGCAAAGCGGCACCCATTGACACCGGTTCTGTACATCGAGCAAAAGGAACCACGTCCCCTTCAAACATGGTCAGCTTCATGGTATTTTCTTCCGCGCGAGTCTTACCTGAATACGGGATCCGATATAAAATCCGGCCTCGAGCGCACCCACGCCAAACTTCGAAATTTCTCCGGAGCTGCAGCTCACAAGGCAATGGCCGATCGAGGAAACAGCGTACGACGGGAACGACCATCGGAAGACCGTAAGAGACCGTTCGACTACGTGTTGATGTAGTAGTGCAAGAGTACACTCTTCTACGCTCTGCTGCCGTGGCACGCGGTATCAGACTACCTAACTTCACAACAACGGGTCGAAAAAAACTGCTATGGGTACGCGGAATCAGCGCTACGCTGCCTGTGTGTCTCACTTTTCAACATTTCACACCACCTCACCCGATTGCACGCATGCCCTGCCGTACTGAAGACGTAGAAGATCCTCCACCTGTTGCCGTGGGGCCTTGCATTCCCCGTGCTTCCTGCGGTGACCAATCAATCCGTTGGAGAGTCGTTCTGTATTAACAGTCACGCTTGTTTGGCGTAACAAAGCTACAAGGCAGGGCTAGAGCGATCTAAAGAGTTGGCGCACGTTTTCACGCAGGCAAAGCCACATGCGGGAGACGCGCGTGTATGCCACATCAACAGGATGCTACTTCGGAGGTACCCGGCGCAAGAAACAAGCTTGTCGTATGCTACGGCGTAAACACATGTGCATCCAAATACTGGACTGCCAACAGTCGTGTGTGTTTTCGTCATATTTGTTTTTCGACAGTTCCCCCATTTTTCGTGGTGAGACGTGACTACACGTGTTTCAGCGTAGGTCGTGTACAGCACTGTGTTTACAGTTTTCAGTGTATGTTTTCGTACAACTACAACTATCCAAGGTCACACAGGAGGTGTAAACACCGTATGTTTTCTTCTATATTTGATTTTTCGTGCCCCACCTTCCTCCTGCGATGCGTCCTGCATTTTATTTTCATCGCGAGAAGGGTTCAGCCGTCTCTTTCCCTCGTCAACGGTGCTAACGTCAAAGGTTTGCTACTCACGAGCTTTTCACATTTTTTCCTTTCACCTGCAACCTTGTAATTTTCACCCCATGGGGATTCGAACTCATGACTCTGCCACTAGCGGTTTAGAGGTTACCACCAGACCACCGGGGCGATGTCGTCTATGCGCTCCATATTCCTGACTCTTCCACAGATTTCTCCTCGCGAATTTGAGTTACAACCTACCATGTTGAGAGCGTACGTAGCAAAATCTTCAAGGCCCTTCGCGTGCATTCCGCAACCGTTATCCCGGACCACTAGGAAGCTCGTGCTCTTCCCGTTCAGGACAACCTCCACTTCCACCTTCCTCTCAGCGTTTCCACGAGTTGCCTTTTCAAAACACGGGGCACAAGCATCGAGTGGGTAGAAAAGCCAAGTTCGAACACGAGCGGGGCAGAAACGCAGAGGTATCTCCTACTCTTCTTGTGACTACTGCGTGGCAGGTGCCAAAAAAACGCGTTTCTGGCTCAACGGCTGTACGATACAACCCTCTCCTCTCTGCATTACGTCCGTATTTCCCAGCCTCGGGAACAGGAAAGCACTGTCGAATGTATGAACGCTTACCAACTCTTCGTCATTCAGACCTGAATCGAATTGTCAATAAGTTCCGCCACACCGTCGTCTATCCTGTTCAAGTGGGAAGCTCCAGCACCGAGAAGGGTGCCTATATGCGGCGAAAACCCGATCGCCATCTTCGCCGGCACTTCCAGCCTGTTCTTGCAAGGGAAGATCGAGAAAACACGGCGTCGGTTGCCCAGGTGCATGTAGTAACAACATAAAACAGCACCTGTGATAGGCTCTTACCCTATCCCCTATTGTGCTACCCACGTGCGAACCAAATTCAATCATCAGTTGGGCAGCATTCCTGAGGATACATCAAAATGTTCCCAGGGTCAAAGTCACAGCAGATGTTTGCGGCGAGGATATGTGGTAAGGGTTGCTGAAATATGTCGTTACTACCCCAAAGGTGGTACGCAGCAACAGGTGAGAGTGGCGTCATTGTGGTCTACAATGAACAGTCATGGGTTCCAATTGAGAATGGCCTCGCTGCCTTCCAACGAAAGGGCGGTTGCGACAAATTACCAGCAGAAATCCTTTCGTCCTGGCGACGCATGTTGAAGGGGGTTTTGAGTACGAACAGAACACGGTCAAACATTTTCAATCAAATTAGTACGGCAGCATGATCGGTGCAACTGTGATGCACGTCACCATCGGCTATCGTCAGCGACAACGTCAGCAGAAAACGACCCGACATTCGAGAAATACCAACCTCTGTACGACTACGAAACAACTGTTGGGGGAATCCAGGCATCGACTGTGTGCACAGAGCTGCTACGATGCTGTGCATGTTTCGAAGAAGGTTGGTGTTCAAGACGTCAAAGAAAATCATCACTTACCGTGCACCGATGTGGTCCAGCACCAAAAACGTGCGGTCGAGTTGTTTTTGGCCGCCGAGGTACTCGCCCGAAACCATCGAACGGTAGACATCATCGGTGATGACACTTTTTCGGTCGGAGGTGGCGACCACGAACGATGCCTTCCCGTGACAACGGTTACGCATATGAGGCGACAGTTCGTTGATACGCCGATTGGTACAGCAGGTTCAAAGGAGGGATAGGGAACCCACCTCAACGGTTTTTGAAAACTGCGGGCAAAAAGTCAGTCAAGACTGGAACAACGGACCAAAGCCCCCCAGGCGAGCACTAGATCTATTGACTTGCACGCGACTCAGCGACTGCCGCGCAATTGCATAGCAACTACTGGACATGTAGAATGACGATCCGATTGTTCAACGCGCTACGGTGGTCAGAAACTTAACGCCCATGCTGAGAAAAACAACGTCCGTTAGCCTTTCTTTGCGACGACACCCTCACAACAGAGAAAAAACTATTCAGGCCACTGGCACCCCCAGGATCCAGTGCCGGTCCCCTCGTAGGAAACAACCTCGTCGAAATGAGCCATATTTTCTTGACATCCAAGGCAGAAACACAATCCGACCTTGACAGGAAATTCATTGTGTACATTAGTTCGGTCCACTCTCTTACTCGTGGTGGTGCTATCGGACGTATACAATGATCCAATGATGTGCACACTGTACCGACGACAGAATCGCCACAACCCGTAGGTGATCAGGTTGTGACCGTCCTGTAGAAAGAGGTCAACACAACACGTATACTGCAGGCATATCGCTTAAGGCTAGGCAGGAAGAAGAGCGTTCGCTGAAATTGGTGCTCTTCAATTCATTTCAGTCGCACAGTTCCATCCAATTACTCCCCTTCTTTCGCTGTTTCATCTGTTTATCGACCGGATTCAGCCACGGTTTGCTCACCTCAATGGAATTTTTGAAGAACAGTTCTCGACAATGCTCCTTGAAATCAGAAAATGTGGGGTACGAAGCGAGCGGAACGGTGACTACCCCTGGCTTCCGCTGGCCCTGTAGGTAAACCACGTCGTCCATCCCGCCAACACCACGTCGAACTCCTGATGACAGGTGGCACATTGGCACAGTGAAATTTTGGTATCTGCAGCCCAGCGCCAAAAACAAATTACTCAACGGCTGTTATTCGTTTGTGGTCTGAAACGGGAGCAACGGTCGATGTTGACTATTTCGACGGCTGAAGTGTGGCTAAAAGAAATTGGGTCGGTTTCGGACGACCAAACTATACCGCCTATACGTCTCAGTTTCTCCGTCATCAACCATTATTTTTGTCGGCCGGTTTGTGCTCAAGGACGTACCATGGTGTGGCGATGAAGAACGCGCGAGACGAGGTGCTAGAAATTTGTCGGAACCGTGAATAGCATATTGTACCCAATCAGACAACGACCCTACAATCAGAGCAAATGATAGACGCAGATGATCAGTGTTGCTGACGCATGCGTGTCTATCCGCGCGTTCTGTGAGAAATGTCACACGTACTACTCACCCGAAACGGGCTGCCTCTCCCCACAGCATGGTCTACAGCCAGCCCTACTCAGCTAGCTCACTCCAAGATTATCCCTGTTGTTCCCTACTCAGTTGGAGTACATGTAGGGTTCAGAGCCACCGGAAGCCGTCAATGGAATCCAGGGCTGTTTGCAGTGGTCTAGAGTACTGTATGTAACCTGTAGTCTGCATTCGGTTGTCTTCCCCTCGCTCGGATTACTGTAATTTTCATCCTCGAATGTCGAACACCTCAACCGCAAAGTCACAACATGCGGCACGACAACGGCACAGAGTAAGTAGTACAGCCGGCTTGTACGGTTTCAAGGAGATGGGTATACCGAAAAAGGTATGTAAGTCTACATGTCTTCACTACAAGTACATTGTACACAGCATCATTAGTCCTTCGTCCAGACTACATATCATCAAGGTATGCAAGAGACGGATTCTCCTGGCTGGGCTCCAAACACCCCAGCACCGAATGATGGTGGTGGTTGAATGTTTGTTTCTTGATGGACGGGACACTGCACCGCTTTCAAAAATGAACCGCAAACATCCGTGTCGTGCTGTAGTGCCGCAACGACGCCGAGCCTTTCTGCACTCACCTTGACAACCTCGTGCACGGTAGGCGCGAAGTTTGTCGCCTCCGTTGCGTCCTCCCGCGATGTGCCGCCGAACGGTGTAGACTACTTTAATAGACGAGGTTGGCGATGGTCATGTTGTGCGAGACGTGCAGCGACAGGCGACAAGACTTGGCAGTGAGCCACACTCGCGACCTCTTCTGTTGGGCCCTTCCGAGAAGCGGCGTGGTCTCCTCGGTCGAAAGAGACGAAACGGCTACACGGTAACACGGTAAGAGCGGCGCAATCTCCTCGCTGAAATGAATGATGGAAACAAGACGTACTGCTGTATGTAGACATCTCCAGAAATTACCCCGCGGTCCGGACGGGTCCAATTAATTGGTCAACTGGTCCAAAGAGAGGCCGAACGTTTTCGCCCACTCTCAACATCTGTCGCTGCACCTCTCGCACAATCACAAAAGCGTACATCCTGCTCCCCGATTCAACTTCGTAACAACCTTTAGTGCCATAGAGGCCAGCAGGAGCAACCACGCCGGAGGAGCGAGGTGCATATCATTTTATTTTCATTTATTTCTCTTCTCCTTACGGTTTCCATTTTTATTTTTTTCTCCTTTTTTTCTCTTTTTTATTTTTTTTTCTCACTTTTTTTTCTCTCTTTTTCTGTGTCAGATGGCCTTGTCTCTGCTTGCGTTGTTAAGTACCAAGATTGAACCAAGGGAGTGTACCTCTTTCTCTCCGGCCCATGATAGATAGTGACTGCTAATCTCAGTTGATACCTCGCATAGCGCGAAGAGGGAGCGGAGGATCCCAGAATATCTGTCGTTGATTTCTATTGACTTGCGGACCCCTCGGGGCCAGTTTATTTGAGTGTACCTTTTTAGGGTAAGTTAACCTGTGACCACGGGAATCGACCGCGTCGAGTGTTAGATCAGTACGGACATACGAAGGCACTGGGTAGAGAGAGATCGGAACGGTTTTTAATGTGAAGACAACAACAACAACAACAACAACAACAACAGCACAATTAATTGTGCGGCTCTTCCTCGCTCCCGTTTTGCGTCGCCTTGACGTCAATAAGAACGCGTGTTCCTTTTGAGGAAGCCATTCAGCATGGGGTCTCAAGCAATTTATTCAGCCTGCGCGCCGCGCGCCTTCGATATGTGACGGTCGACGGCAGGTCGGAGGTCGACACGGACACAAGGACATCAACAGCGGAGAAGTCAGAACCGGTTCTCGAGTTGCCGAACGGGTCCGATAAATTCGCGCCGCTCTCCACAGGCCGCGCCGCGAGCACATTTCAAACATCAAACTCAACTACTTCCTCTTTCTCGCACACAGACGCAGAACAAGCACAGGCGCTCTAAGACCCCCATGCCGCATGGCGCAAGCAGTGAGAATCGAAGGTGTGAGTTTAAGAGTATTTCGCTGATACAGCTCTTCACAGATTGTGGACGCGCACTGCCGGGTGAGAAAAAATAGAAACAGATCGAAGGCGGCACACAAGGAGAGATATGTAGACAAGAGAGAGAGAGAGAGAGAGAGAGAGAGAGAGAGAGACCCCTCGCGGCACCAACAGCCATGAACCAGTGGGCACACAGAAGTGCAGCATGCCAGGTGCCCATAATTTTGGGTGGAGTCGCTATATTGTAGAGAAGTGGTTTTCCTGTCCAGCGTCCATCAGCGATTGCGCCGCGCATTGAACCGAAAAGAGCTGGAGGCTATTTATTCCACCGGACTTATGCTTCAGACGGGCTGGAGTTGTTTTCCCGTCTGCTTTCTGTGTCCCTTGCGTCGTGAGACGAGGGGTGGTGCGAGCCACAGCGATACTGTGTAAGCACCGATGCTGCTAAAGACTATACATAGTCTATGGCTTCATCTTCAACAACCCAACGTGCAGAGAGCTGCCTCGCTCTGGTGGAGAAATTCTGGAGAGAGAGGTGGTAAGAAAATGTGGCAAGGTGGGCGTCGGGATACTGACTTTTTGCCCATTCACGTGCGTGCATGATGCGTCATTCTGGGCAGAGCACCCATAAATAGGGCAATTTTTTTGTAAGACACGGAAGAGCTTCCAACAATTATCTGTGTTTTAGAGTGGTAGAGCCGGGTAGATGCCTAACTCCCACCAATCACCCGTCGAGTTTGTAAGACATTTTGTAAGACAGAGACAGATGATTGGGCGATGGGCACGACGCTCTCGGCAGAATCATTGAAATCCTCTCGCACAGCAGCACCATACACATCACGTAGACAACATACGATACAACCAGCACAGCAGCATACGGGCTGCTGTAGGCCAAGGGCAGCCAAAGGCATACATCATGGGAGGCGTTGGGTGGGACTCTTGCTGTCCGTTGCCTGCTGTCGGCAGCACAAGCGAGTGAGGACGCAGTTCAATCCGCGGTCCGTCTGCATCACCCTCAACCTACCGATCTTTGGAGCTTCCCGCACAGACGCATCCCCACAACAGAGAAAACGAGGCCTACAAACTGCTGTAGGCCAAGGCCGGCCAAAGGCACACATAATGGCTGGCGTCGGAAGCTATTTTTAGACCCCAAGGCCTACTGCTAGCAGCGTAAGCGAGGGAACATGCGAGTGCACACAAGTCAGATCTCTGTCTGCTGTCTCTTCGTCTGCCGGCCGATCTTTGCTTCCACAACAGACGCACCTCAGAAACGGAGACAAGTGAGACGTACACAGCGCTGTAAGCCACGGGCGGCCAAATACGCATCGTGGGCCCAATTTTAGAGCCTGTTACCCTCTGCTAGTAGCGAAAGCGAAGAAAGCAAGTGCGCGCCCATGCACAGCAGCAACAGCAGCGGCAGCAACAGCAAGCAGCAGCAGCAGTAGCAGCACTGCTGCCGCTGAGCTGATGATGATGAGAGCTAAACAGCTCTCCCATTCATCCCCTGACTGACTGGTGGCATCGGGTGAGATGTTGAGCGTGCGCACTGGTGACCTAAGTGGTGGCGTAGGCTCCATCCATATCTATCTACGCTTGCTTTGATGTCTCTCTCCGACCCTTCTTTTCGCGCTTCCCTTCTTTTCGCGCTTCGCGCGAAATATTTTAATTTTTTTTGTTGGACCCCTATGAAAGGGAGGGCAACCTCATTCTGGCCACGTATCTGTGTCGAGGGTAGCCCTCCAACCTCTTGCCCTACAGAAATCGGGAGTGAAGAGCAGCTCCGAAGGATGGGTACAGGACCAACCAGGAACTCGTGCACTCTCGCATACAGAACTCACCACCTTTGAAAACCTCTTGTTTTGGCCGAGGTTCGTGTCTAATGTTGCCTACTATGGGAAACCCCCGACGGCGGCTACATTGGTACATATTCTAGGCTTCTTGACTGAGATCCTGTTCTTATGCCCCAAGTTCTTAGACCTTGAAGTTTTCGAGGCTGAAGTGTAGAGAGCTGTACAACAGCAGTAGAGCTGTACGTACACATCGTCATGCGCCTGTGTAGAGCGGATGCGCATGGTCTCACCGCGAATACTCCTAACTGCCGCTGTTCTGCGGTTGTTGCTTAACACTTACTTTCCCACACAATACGCCCACCACGCCAGGGCATACACAGCGTCGTGTTGGCATTTACACATACATGCTCCTACAGAACTGGCCCGAACTTAAGACCTTGTACCATACTTCGTACTTCTAGTAGTTAATCTTGACCCTCGAAATGTTCGAAAAATGGAACTTGACTTGTAAGAGCGTGATCCGTCAAGAAGCCTACACTACAACCTATATCGTCGCCGTGGGGATGTCCCATCCAAAAGATAAGAAACACGCCCCCGCCAAAATATGAGGTTCTTAGGTGCTGGCCCTACCTGTACAGACAGCATCTCTCTAATCTACCTCGTCGTTCTCAGCGGGTGGAAACATCGAAATACCAACCCCCTTTCTACATACTACTCGTGCGTCTACGCATGCATGCATGCTCTACTGATGATCCGTCTCGCGCGCGCGAAAAAAAACAATTTGTGCTTACACACCCTCCCAATCCTCCCCTCGCCTCCACAATAAGCTAACAGCAATAGTAGTTATTATAGTATAGTATAGAATTGTATAGTATAGGTCACACCGTCCCGCCTCTCGTTCACTGGCATGTCCCTGCCCCGCTCATCCGTCTCTCTCCCCCCCCTAACCGCGTAGTAGCAAGCACATCAACGACCATAGTCAGGTTTAATCTGACGCCTTTCACGGTTTCATCATTGCTTCCCGACAACCGCTTCGGCAGACATACCCTGCTATGTATGTCGACGCAGGGATTAAGAGGACTGAGAACTTGCAATGTACCGCGTAGTTGGTGAAAAGGGATACATTATCCTTCCTTTTTTTACGCAGACACACATCCATAGACTGCCTCGTCCGTTGTTCGCGTTCCCTGCCCAATTTTCTCTTCTTTTTGTTTGCAACATGTGTGTACCCCTGTTTCTCAGTGTTGTGTCTTTGTTGCGTGCACATGTCTACCCCTGTTTTTCCCTGAGTGCATCTAAACAGGTATTTTAAACCAAAGCCGCCCTCACGTGTGTGTTCTGATCGGCGTGCCTCATAATGAAAATACTCTTCTTGTGTTCGAGGTTTTTGCTCCGCTCTTTTCAATGGTCAGCCGGCTAGCCGACTAGCGCGGTCGATCTTTTCTATCGACATGCAAGATACACACACTGTCGGGGGAGCCTCCGACGAGAACGCGTTTCGCCTGCTTTTCCAGCTGCCGGACTGACGTGTCTGCCCATTGGTTAGCCAATTACAGCGTCAATGCTACTTCAAGACACATACACACACAAATACACCCGTGTTGGCGTTATCTTCTCGATGTAAGAGATGAGAGCCATCGATACAAACAAAGAAACACACAAACCACGCAGATACACGTCTTGCTTTCTGAATGCCCAAAGGACGCCCATTTCCCGGGGTAGTGTCGTGGCTGGTCCAAGATGTTGGGCCCGCTTTTCCTTTTATGATACGTTATGTAGCCGCTCACCCAAACGCCTGAGTAGAGAATGATTTGTTCGCGGTTGTAAGCACAGCAGACCTTCCAGAAAAACTACCCACCCGATTCGCCTTATGAGAAGTCGATTTGGCCACGGTACACTTTCTGATTTCGAACTGAGGAGTGTCGATGAACGCTTTAGCAGCCCCAGAGAGCTGCAGTTACTTGCAAAACAGTTGGAACACAGACCAAGGCATGTGGGCACCCGACGCTTGCCTCACGGCTTGGCTGGTTTGTAAGCAAGCCTGTACGACCACTCGTTTTTGTATGACCGTCCGATCTGTCGACCCTTAAACCATCTTCCGACAGAACGAACCAGTTATGGAATACGTTGATTTGTTTTTTTCAACGGCGCATTGGCAAGTTGTCGACGCGCAGCAGCATGTGGCAACACTCGTCTTTGGATGTAATATTTTTCCCCTCGAAACGCAACGCGTTCGTTCGAGTACTCCCGCCTTAAACCTCAGCTATGTTTTGGGGCCTTTTGAGACTTGAAACGCGCTTTTGGAGAGGCCGAGCAATTCGTAGACTGGCCCGCCTCAACTGGGGTTCGATTGAAGGGGATTGTGAACTTGAACACAAGAGCAGCAGGCATCACAGAGGGCCATTGGTGGCAAACGGCGTGACCTTGCTGCATTCTAATCGGAGCATGTTTATTACCCGCCGCCCTCCTTCATCCGTACTTTCTCTCACTTAACCAATTCGCTCAGCAAGAAGCTGCCCCCGGCCCACATTGCGTTTTTTTTATATCCACGAATTGTCTCAGAACGAAGCGGATGCCTGGACGCTTTTGTGGCGGTATTGAATCATCAGTCTTGCGAGCGGCAAGAGAAGCGCTGGTACACGTCGATTCGGGAGCTGCAACTGGTGTCGCTGGAGTTTTGCGGGGTGTGCAGAAGCACCTCGATCTTGCGTGTGCGTGTGGATAGCAGTGCGCCTCCTAGCTTGTGGTCTCCGTACAAATCACAAGCAATACCGGACGATTACGGTGCTGAGGTTCCCATCGCGAGTCGCGTGCCGGCTGTGCGGGCCTATGGTTGGACTTGGTCTATTCCGGCGGACACTCTGCTTAGTATTCCTGACGTTCGGTTTTGGGCACAAACAGAACTGAGCCGTCGGGGATCTTTTCCTGAAGCTAGGCTGGCATCGGTGGTTTGGCCCCAAGGGCTCAAACAGCTGGAATTCGATTTGAACACGGCCGTGGAAAAAGCATCGTGGCCGGCGTCGTTGCAAAGCCTGACGTTTGGACGTAGCTTCAACCAGCCCATTCTCGGAGCAGTGTGGCCGTCCTCCCTGCAACAGGTTTCACTAGGCCATGACTTCAACCAGCCAATCGATGGAGTCCTGTGGCCGTCTTCCCTGCGAGAGCTGTCGTTTGGATACAAGTTCAACCAGCCCATAGCCGGCGTCTTGTGGCCTGTCTCCCTGCAGCAGTTAACGTTTGGCAATTGTTTCGACAAGCCCATCACTGAAACCGTGTGGCCGGCCTCACTGCAACGCCTATCGTTCGGGGTTTGCTTCGACCAGACTGTCGTCGGAGTTGTGTGGCCGGCCTCCCTGCAACAACTATCATTCGGGCATTTGTTCAACCACACTATCGCCGGAGTCGTGTGGCCGGCCTCCCTTCAGCAGCTGTCGTTTGGGGACTTCTTTGACCAGCCCATCATCGACACCGCGTGGCCGGCCTCCCTTCAGCAGCTATCCTTTGGGGACGAATTCAGCAAGACTATCGTCGGAGTTGTGTGGCCGGCCTCCCTTCAGCAGATATCGTTTGGGCATGAATTCGACCAGTGCATCGTCGGGGTCGCGTGGCCGGCCTCCCTGCAGAAGATATCGTTTGGCGATCGCTTCAACAAGCCCATCGCCAGGGTTGCGTGGCCGCCTTGCCTTCAGCAGCTATTGTTCGGCTGCTACTTCAACCAGCCCTTAACCGGAATCAAGTTGCCAGACTCGCTGCAACAGCTATCGTTGGGCGACCGCTTCAATCAACCCATCGCGGGAATCGGTTGGCCGGCTTCCCTGCCGCAGCTATCTTTCGGATGTTTCTTCAATCAGCTCATCACCGGGGTGGGTTGGCCGGCCTCACTGCAGCAACTGTCGTTCGGGGATCAATTCAACCAAGCGATGATTGGGGTCGTGTTGCCGGACTCCCTGCAACAACTGTCGTTTGGACTCAACTTCAACCAACCGATCGTGGGAGTCGTGTGGCCTGTGTCCCTGCAGCAACTGTCGTTTGGGTACTGCTTTCACCAGCCCATCGTCGAAGTATTGTGGCCAGCTGTTCTGAAGCGGTTATCGTTTGGGGATTTGTTTGACCAGCCTATCTCAGGAGTTGTGTGGCCGGCCTCTCTGCAGCAACTGTCATTCGGGCTCTTCTTCAACCAACCCATCAATGGTGTAACGTGGCCGGCTTCCCTTGAACAGCTATCGTTTGGGGCATGCTTCAATCAGTCCACTACCGGAGTCGTGTGGCCAGCCTCCCTACTGCAGTTGTTGTTGGGGGGTATATGTCACGAGCCCATCGTCGGAGTCGTGTGAACCTGGTGATCGTTGCTTTGTTGAGCTCAGAGAATTCAGCCGGGGCGAAGAAGAGAACGAAAGCAGAGACACTGATAATACATCAAAAGGATGCTGATGTGGGCAGGACACAAAGCTTGCCTTTGGTACCGGTGTCGCTTTGATTGAAATTCCTTGGAGAGGGCATTCGGGGCGCAAGTCACTAGAAGGCACCGCTGCGATTTCGTGCGTGTAGCTTTCCGAGCGGAGAGGACTTGAGCTCGGTAAAATAAACGTGGACAAAATTTCTTGTAGGTTCTTTTGTTTCGGGAGCATAAACCAACCCTATTCGGATTGGACAAATATTTTGACGTTGGAGGAGTCCGGCATCGCCGCGAAGGTCAGCAAAACTGTACTTCTGAAACAGGAGAAGAGTCGATCGGAGAATTCGAGCCCACTGTCGAATTCACCGATATGTACAGGGGTCGCCGCGCTTCGTATCGGGCTATCCGTTTCTAAATCGGCTACAGCTGATTGGGGGGTCAGATAAATGTCTTCGCTGAGAGCGTGACCCGGTAAGGTTTAGGCTAAATGTGTTGACTGTGGACGGTGCTCCTGCCCTGTCCCCCATGATGCTCACGCCCGTTGGTTGTGCTATAGTCTCCATTTGCACCTTTAGACAACAATGTTGTTCGGCGGACAAGGCCGCAAAATGAGCCCCACGAGGCGGAAACCATAGGTCCAAACCAGAGAACTGGTGCCATTGCTCTTGGCGGGCCAACGGCGGAGGGGACGGCCCATCGCCGTCTTATTTGATGGTGCTGTTGAACAACCTGTCGGGGAGCAAGGTTTTGGGGCTGCAACAGCGTGAAGACACTAAAGGACCCTCCCACGTTCGCACCCTTCGCTGGCAGGATATTTGCGAGCACAGGTAAGGTTTGGTGATGTCCGTGCCTACCAGGGGAGTCTCTCGACTGTACAGTGATTGCAAACCGTCGAGAAACGAACAACAGCCGAATCGCCGAAACTCTGACTGTCACGATGTGCTGCAGGCTCTAGGCCTGGGCGACACGGCTCTGACCGCGCTTTTCTCCCGGCTACGGCGACAGAGCGCCAAGACCCCAACGGGGACTGCCCAGAGAGAGTCGTCCAGATCTTGAGGGCAAGGAGTCTAGATACACCGCCGGGTAGACGTTGATCAGAGGTCGTGAGAAGTCGGAAGTTGTGCGGGAACGGCCAAGGGCAGCGGAGAAGGGCCATGGTGGGAAAGACGGGGTGATGAATCGGTGGGAACACCAAAAACAGCAACAGTAATAGCTCTCTTGATGTTTTCCATTGTTTACGCGTGGCGCACAGACTGATTCCTCTACAGGACTTTTGTTCCACGCAAATAACATTGCTTCGACGGAGATGCGGTTGTCTTTCTGTAGCACATGGTTGGCATCGCTTCCATGGGGTGGGTGGACAAAATCAGGTTGGGTGTCTGTGGTTTCTTGCTGAGCCGACAACTTCCTGCATCTCTTTGGATATCCATCCCAGCACAACAACGGAAGCGCTACATGTGGCGAAATGTACGTACCAACACTACAATAGACCAGGAGGAAACGAACGAATCAAACAATGACCCCCATCTCCCCGAGTGAATTGTCAACGTCTCCCAACGGCGGCAACCCGGGGTGTTCCAGTTCTCTACTACCTGTGACCCCCCGCGCGTCTCTTGGTACGCCCCCCCCACCCATGTACCTATCATTACCGCCATTGCAAAACCGGCTATGTCACCACCCTTCGATACCTCCGCGGAAGCTACGCCGATCCCTTCCGCGATTGCGCGCAAAGTTGAGTGTAGCATGCTCAGAGTTGGTATCGAAATTAATACCACCACCGCATGCTCTACTGTTTCAGGAGGTCTGATTCCAAGAGGTGCCGGAATACGCTTGCCCTGATTTGGTCGGTAAGCTCGACACGCTTCGTCAGTTGTTGGTGCAGGCTCAGAGGGCTTCTGCTTCGCCGATTCCTGTCTAGACCGCAACATGTCCCTCAGGGCATTCATACCGTGCATATGTTTGCGGCCTACGCCACCTATTTATCGAGTGAGACTGTTTCGGTGATGGATTAACTTCACGAGAGGTAGACAACCGTCCTTCACACGGACGAAAGAGGGAGTGCTCCACACAGGGCAACTCCAACAGCAAGGAGGGGCCCCGTGACTCATCGCGGTGCCCCCTACCAAACGGCAATCTTTCCAATCTGCGTGACACCCAACCATACAGTACATAGACTATATCCAAAACCAATGTTCGCAGACCCACAAACACCCTCCCTGGTTCTTCACGCAAGTGACCAACCATCAATGGGGCAAGAACACCCCTGGATACATCAGAAATACCAACATGGTAATTATGGAGGGGAAACCCGGCATCCGGGCAAAACCCCTCGAAAAAAAACCTACCACCACAAAAATCGTCGCTATCACATCGGATCACGACGGCCGCACTTATTAGAAAGGCCAAGGCGAAGACAAGAACGCGAGGAACTACGTTCCCCCGGACGATGGTCTCCCGACGCCCCCTACTCCTGCCGGTGGTACACAGACCGCAACAGTTATGCGCCTTTCCCCGCATGGTAAACATGACCTCTCCCAAGTGCTAAAACCTGCTACAGCTACTCCGGCATATTCATCAACTTGCGCCGGTGGTACTGCAGACTGACCCTGCTAAGGGCCTTGGTTAGGAGGTCCGCGTGTTGCTCCGTTGTCGGAACAAACTTGACCAAAATATCCCCCGACCTAAACAATCCACGGATGAAATGGAACCTCACGTCGATGTGTTTCGTGCGATCTGAGCTGAGGGGGTTCTGCACCAACGCCATGGCCCCCTGGTCGTCCTCAAGGACCTGGATGCTGCTACGACTGGTCTCTGGGGCAACAAACGAAAGCACAGCACCCACAAACAACGCCTCCTTTACGCCCTCCCCGGCAGCAATGTATGCGGCTTCCGTCACAGACAAAGACACGATGCTCTGCGTCTTGCTACCATGGCTGACTACGGTACCTCCAACCGTCGTCGCCAACCCTGACACCGAACGCCTATCCTCCGTGTCGGCGTAGCTAGCGTCTACGTACACGGCCAGCCCTAACCTCGATCCCCGTTGGTAGGTGATGCCGAGGTCCCTCGTCTCCTTGAAGTAGCCGAGGATCTTCTGTATGGCATCCCAGTGCCTCTTCGCCGGGGCGTGGGCGTGGCGCGCTACCGCACGCACGGCGAACGAGACGTCTGGACCCGAGAACGTCGACACCCACATCATGCTGCCGATGGCCTCCCTCACCGGCCACTCCCCTCCCTCCTCGTCATCTCGCTTCGGTCCTAGGTCGGCACCAGGAGTAGCGGGGATGTGGAAGGTCGATTACACATCAAAGCGTTTCACCATGCTGTCAATGTACGCGGTTTGGGAGATTCTAAGAGTCCCAGCCTCTACATCTCTCTCGATGGCGCACCCGTCAAACCAATCGCACTCTCCAAGGTTTTCGGTGGGGAATTTCTTGTTGAGAGAAGCAAGCGACTCATTGCAATCCTCGTCAGACCAAGCCACCAAAATGTCATCCACGTAGATCACGATAATCATCGCCACGACTTCGTCTACCATCTTGCGGAAAACACACGGGTCCGCCTTGCACTGTTCGAACCCGTTCTCGACTAAATAGCGTATCAGCAGCATGGTACCCCCACTGCCTACCACTCTGCTTCAGACCGTAAATCGCACGCTCAGCCTTACCAATTTTATGCGATTTGTCCCCGCACCCAGCGGGGAGCCTCAGAAAAATCTCCTCGTCTAGCGTGGCGTGTGTGTACGCCTGCTTCACATCCCAGTGATTGAGGTTCATGCCCTTCTCGTTTCCTACCGCAAGCATCAGTTTAATGGATGCGGATGATGGGCAAGGGGAAGACGAAAGGAAATAGTCCACGTTCGGGATTTGCAAAAAAAACTAGCAACCAGACGCGCGTAAAACTTGTCTATCTTCCCTTCGTTATTGGTCTTCCAACTAAAACACCACTTTTGAGCTCACGGGCCTGCGCCCCTCTGGCGCGTCGTCTACGAATGAAAGCGTCCCCGTGCCCAAGTGCCCTTCAAACTCTTCCCTCATGGCCTGTTCCCACCCCTCTCTGTACACAGACTTGGCAACGCCGGCTACGGTCATGGGGGGGGGGTTTACGTCAATCGGACGCTTGCCTATGGGGGATTCACTTAGCTCGTGGGAGGCCAGAGCCGTCTCGAAGGCGTCTGGCGAGTTGAGCATGAGGTCCACCGCACCCAGCGGGAAGTCCTCCGCCTCTTGGCGCGCAGCGTGAGCCTCCTCCGCGCGCTCGAACAGCAACTCTCGCACCACCCTCGCCTCTAGCCCCTCCGCCACGTGAAGTACCGCCGAGAGTATCCAGCGGGTGAACTCCTCCGTGTTGCTGACGGGCACGCTCGCCACCGAGGCGAGCAGGCCTTCGGCACTTGTCGGCGACGGGGGCGACTCGTACCTCGGGTTTCGGCGAGGGTTCTCCTTGGTGCGGCGGCTGGTGAGTTTCCCCGGCTTGTCGAAGCGTGCGAGCCGACGGGCCTCTGGCCCGCGGAGCGCCGGGAGATCCGTCTCGCTGCCGCTGCCGCTGCCGCTGCCGCTGACGCTGCCGCTGCCGCTGCCGCTGACGCCGCCGCTGCTACCGCGGCTGCTGCTGCGGCGGCGGTCGTGCTCGCCGCCGCCCACATCGGCCATGCCGGCCGAAGTGCCATGCCGGCCGAAGTGGTAGATGGGGCGACGCTCGCGCCCTCCCTGCTCGAGGGGGCGCCATCGCCAGCGTCGCCCGCGCCCGACTCCTGGGGCAAGGTCGGCGGCGCCGCCGGCGCTACGCTCGCGGGCGGCCCCGCGGGCCCCGGGGCTGCCGTCGTGCCAAGGTTGAAACCTGGTCCTCCATCCACAGGTTCTCCCTCCGCCCCCCCTCCACCTTGGCTCGACGCGCCCTCCCCAACCTCGTTCTCCTTAGTCGCGAAGTCTCCTTCCTCCTCTGCGATGGGAGGCAGCGACTGGGGCAGGGCGGTGGGGGCGGTGGGTACGGATTGCCAGGTGAAGTTGCGAGTTGTGATCGCTTGGCGTTTTTGGTTCAGGATGCGCACGCAATCACGGTTGGTGTTGATTCCCGGGCCGAGGTAAAAACACTTTTAGGCTTTCGGTTCGGACTTGTGTGTGCAATTGACCTTGTATACGGCGGGTTTGAGGAACGGGTACGTCGCCCCCGGCGGGGGAGGGCGCCCGTGCCACATCTCGTACGGCGATTTCTTCTCTGGGTTGGATGTGGTTGAGGTGCAGTGCAGGGCGTTGCATGCCCAAGCTATGGCCTCGGCCCAAAGGGAGGGGTAGTTCGGTGCTCCGGGGTAGAGAGTTGGTGCTTGGGTACGGGCGGCTAGTGCTGCATCCTTGATCAGACCCAGTGCTCTCTCAGCTACAACGTTGTATTCTGGGCTGTGTGCGGGGGTGAACTCCTGTTTGATGCAGTACTTCCGGCACACCCTGCCGAACTCTCCCACAAAAACCTGTCCTCCGTTGTCAGATCTCACGACCATGACATCGGACGGGGCACCGCCTGCCCGGTTTTCTGAAAGGTATCTCTCGAATGCCTCAGAGGCGTCTGATTTTTGCTTCAGGCAATAGACACGGTTCCACCTTGTGTAATCATCCTTGACAATGAGAGTGTGGTCTTCGCAGCTTGGATGAACGATTTTCGCCACGAATCAAATCCGTGGCTACGGCTTTTTCCGTCTAGAAGCGGGGCATTGACCGTCACTCTTTTCTGGTGGCTACTGCTGTAGCCGTCGAGGTATTCTCCATTTCCTCGAATCACGGGTATCTCACCTGGGGGGTTTAACCCCCTCGCTTCCCCGTAGTCCGGTCCTATGCCCGGGCCCACTCCGGCTGGTCTCGCAGGATTCGCTCCCGATCTGCTGGCCCAGCCGCCTTCCAGCAGCTGATGTATTTCTTGTCCACCATATCCTGCTTGCTGGAGAAATCCTCCGCCTCCGCC